GAGAACGAGAAATTCTTATATGTAGTGGCTACGAGCGAGTCAACGCGTGCTACGCGTCAAAACTGGTATATCGGTATACCTGTGTCTATAAAGTTATACGTGTCTTTGAAGGACGAGAAATTCTTATATGAATCATCAATCGCACGTCCTAAACCGCTATCATTGTGTTGGACCACGAGGGACTGGATGGACTAACTATTATTATTTTTAAATTGCTTAAAATATACGTTTTTAGTGGGCTATATAAAGGTTATTGATTACAAGTCCCATCATGCTTTGCTGTACAAAATGGCTTCTCTGCACAATGTCTATTGTAATAACGTATTAAAACATTAGAAACTAAGCCGAACATGTGGGATATCTTGCCGAACATGCGCAGAAAATAGTTTACGAGTTTTGGTATAAACTTGAGACTGTGGCATCTTTGACAATCATTGTGGACAACTGCTGGAACTTCATCACCACAATCCATNCCACTCATACGAAAACGACTCTATAAAAATACGATAATAATGATACTTGAACACTTCCTAATTGATGTAAATATAGAATACCCCGCATCCAAAAAAGCACCTATGATTTGATCACAGCAACGCGTCGAATTTATATGTCTTCAGGGAACGAGAAATTCTTATATGTAGTGGCTACGCGTCAACCCGTGTTAAGCGTCAAAAATGGTATATCGGTATACCTGTGTCTATATATTTACACATGTCTTAAGAAAACGAGAAATTCTTATATGTAGTGGCTACGCGTCAACGCGTGCTACTGGCGTCAAAAATGGTCAATTGGTATATACCTGTGTCTATATATTTACGCATGTCTTTAGAGAACGAGAAATTCTTATATGTAGTGGCTACGCGCGCGTCAAAACTGGTATATCGGTATACTTGTGTCTATAAAGTTATACGTGTCTTTGAAGGACGAGAAATTGTTATATGAATCATCAATCGCACGTCCTATGCCGCTATCATTGTGTTGGACCACGAGGGACTGAATGGACTAACTATTATTATTTTTAAATTGCTTAATATACGTTTTTAGGGGGCTATATAAAGGTTATTGATTACAAGTCCCATCATGCTTTGCTGTACAAAATGGCTTCTGTGCACAATGTCTATTGTAATAACGTATTAAGACATTAGAAACTAAGCCGGACATGTGGGATATCTTGCCAAACATGCGCAGACAGTAGTTAACGAGTTTTGGTATAAACTTGAGACTGTGGCATCTCACAACCATTGTGGACAACTGCTGGAACTTCATCACCACAATCCATTTTTCAACAGAAAAAAATATTTAACAAACGCACAAAACCTTAAGTATGTGGGCTTGTAAATAAAGGTTTGACAAAAGCCCAGTTTATATTAGCGATTATTACAGTTTGTACCTTATGATTACAGTTAACTCTCTTTGAACGACCACTCTAGTAAGCGACCATCTCCCGTAAGCGACCACCTTTTAAATTTCCCGTTTTGTTCAGTTTCCCATGATATAAACTCTGTAAAAAAACTTTCTCGTAAGCCACCGACTCTCGTAAGCGACCACTTTTTACCTGATCCCGAGATGGACGTTCGAGGGCATTGCTACTGCGCACGCTTTCTGCGCACGCCAAAACCGGAAGTTGTAACGAAATTTGCATCAAGTAAAACAAAGATGGCGACCGCTCTTGTTATGTGTTTGTGTGGTTTTGTACGTACTTTTCTGAACTTCTACATGAATGCAAAATGTCTTCACGTTCAAAAAATGGGAGATTTACTACTGCTAAAGAATTGATGAGGCGAAAAAGTGTTCAAAATGCTCTAAAAAGTCGTAGATTCAAGATGGCCTGCAAAATCTTAGATTTCGACACGAAATATCTACACAACGAACCCGGTAACCCCAATTTCTATTTATCTTAACAGAAGGCTACTTGGAAAAAATATAACATATGTGAAAGCGGAAAAAACGACATCAGAGGTTTCTGAAATATAGCAGTTTTAKCTGGAAATGACACYTMTTSTTGACGTCGAATGTGGCGGCTTGACACCGACAAAAATCCTAAAGGAATCAAAAATCACATCATGTAATGTTTCAAAGTCTCGCCAAACAATATTAACAATTATCGACCTCAGCTTTTGTGGAAAAATTTGGATCAATTGATATGTGTTTTATATTTTTTGGGAACTTTTTTGACAGACGGCATCGAACACTTTTCGCGCGCTTTTCTTTGACAATTTTGGTGATTTTGTGAAAGAATTATCTCTAAAATGAAGCCGGTGACCTCCACTTTTTTATCGCTTTTTTGCAAGTTTATGTCATCGCGTATTTCCCGTATTTCCATTGCCCACGAACGTCCTTAAGAGAGAGTTGACTGTTAAAATGCCATTATCAAAGCTAAAAATGAAAGGAAATTTTACAAGTACAACAGTCGTAGTTAAGCAGGCCTTTTCTGAGATAGGAGTTTGCATAGCAATGTGATCTAGATTTGGTACAAACATCTTTTGTTCGTGCTGTCAAATATGGCGTTGTTTGTACTGAAGCTAGACCACAATGCAACATGATTTTGTATTTCAGAAACGGTCTATCCCAGAAGATTGACCACAGTAAATACAATGACCTTCTCAATGAGAAGTGTCCGAATGTAACGTGTTTTTGGTGTAGATACAACATTATTATATGACTTGGATAGTACGCGCGTTCTGATTGGCTCACGCGAGGRCGATATTTTGCCATCTCCGACCGATTACCATGACAACGGTCCGAAAGTCATATTCCCGAGCGCCCGTTTGTTGACATTTTTCAAGGCGCGAGATTTGATTTTTTTTAACTGAATTTGAGAATAACTATACGAGAAGCAAGCAAAGAAAAATTAAGAATGACGAGGAAGAATATTTTTCAAGCGAATTTTATTATTCTGACGAATTTGAGTTGAGGAAAACATGCATGAAAACGCCACATCCGAAGCGCAGTTCAAACTCCGAGCCAAGGAGTTGTTGTTTTGACAGTTGTTTGTGGAAAAGTAGAAGGCGAAATCACAATACGAAAAACAAGGTCTAATATAAACATTCTTGTAGTAAAGCGAAGGCGGTTGTACAGAGCGGAAAAGGCAACAAAACACAAGTGACGAAATCTCTAAGCGATGAAGACGACGAGAAGGCGCTTCGTGACTATACTAATAAAACCCAGGTTAGAAATTCGCAGCATC